TTTACAACTATATTCTCATAATGTTATGACTTTATTCTCAAAATTAAAAAAAATTAAAAAATCTCTAACCTGGCCCTAGAATTCTGCTGTACTATTAAGATAGCTGCATGAAGTGGATTTTCCATTCAATTAGGTTTAATTTAAATTCTGTCTTCCATCTGAAAATATTTATTTTTGCCTTGATAATGTTCGTTCCGATTATTATTAAAATAAAAATAACTCAAAAAAATCTCTCAAAGCTATTATTTGGAGTATTCATTACTCATAATTTAGGAATTTTACTTTTTTTTTTAACTTAATTTAAGCTAAAATTACCATTTTCTATCAAATCTGAATTAGAACTCAAGATAAACTGATAAATTCAGCTGTAAAAAAGTGAGTATTGTTTTTATTTGTTTTGGGGGAAAAAAACATTTAGCAGATGAAAACTGTTTTTAAATAATTAGTAAAACAGAGTTTGTAAAGAAAAAAAATTAAATAGGTCCAAATAATCCATCAGTTCCAGCGCAGATCATCATTACAATTTCTTTGAGTCTTAAGTAGTAATCTTCAGTACAGGGGCCAGGACATGATCTACAGGGGCACTGGCCCCCGTTGGCCCCTGTCTAGAACCGCTCATGAGCAGGACACTGAAAATGAATCACTTTCAACATCACAGACGATTTTATATGGTTTAATATCATCTTTACATTTATAATAACATTGAATCACCAGAATGAATCCTCCACAGCTCATCTAGCTGGTTCATCCTGTGATGTCATAGCTCTGTGGCTCACTGCCCAGGGGGGCATGGCAGGAAGGGTCACTATGGCAACGTTACCACTGCAGGACTTGATGCTCAATTACGACTTTTTTGGGAAATCCGATTTTTTTTTTTTTTTTTGCTGTTCAGATTTCCGAATATATGCGACTTGTATGTGATCTCTTGTGTGAACTGCAGTCATACAGCTTAAGTGTCCCGCATGCGCAGTAGAGGACGCTATGACATCACAGACCAGCGTGCTCTGTGTTTATAGAAGTAAACATGGATGGTAGCGCCGGAGCGCATCAAGCCATCTTTTCCCAACCTTTCAATCTTTTCAAGATGGTTAAATATAAATACTGCTCTCCACATCATCGTCCGCCATGGTTGTTTTTTTCTTCCCTTCTGTGTAACAAGATGCAGAATAGTGACCTTTGTCAGCTACTAATGGCGTTAAGGTCGGATGAAAAAGATTAGATTCAGCACCACAGAGCCAAGTGGTCTGGGTCGCATTGGAAAAAAATCGGATCTGTGTCATTCAGACGGCCATGAAAAGATCAGATCCAGGTCCCATATGGGCAAATAAAATGGTGCTGAGCTTTCAAACCAAAGAAAAATGTGTATTTCTCTTCAGATCCTTTGACGTTTTACGTGTGTTTATTTTACACAATCCTGCTGATATACAGTATTTTATTTGTTTTTGTTTTGGGGGTTGAAAAAACATTTAGCAGTCGCCATAATAAGTGCTATCTGAATAGTACTGACAGTAAGGAAGGAGCTAGGAAGAGGAAGCATAGTTCATTCAGGATAGGGACCTCTAAGGAAGGTGAGATGAAGCATCGTGGAAACATTTGGCCAAACTGCTTCAATGATCCCCACAGTTCATGAAGCTTCATGTGAACATGTCACCACCTGCTGGTGGACAGCAGAACTACAGTTGGTAATATAATAAGATTTTTTTATCTTGTTTTTTTCCCATTTAAGTTCCTTTGAAATTGTTAATGTTTGGTCTGTATAATAAAATCTTTAAATCTTTATACTAAAAGTTTTTTTAGTATAAAATGTCTTAGAAGAGAAAAATCATTTAAGGTTTGCTGTTTTTCTGCTGTTTTAGTGAAATAAGCTTCAGCAGACAGTGAAAGTCTTTGTGCAAATTGGGCAATGATGAGAAAAATAAAAGCTGTTGGTCATTTTTCCACAGTTTTTGGTTTTAATCGGGTTAGAAGTTCAGTTTTCATCTGCTAATTTTTTTTTTTCAAAACAAACAAAAAAAAAACTCTAAATTTACGGCTGAATTTATCAGTTTTTCTTGAGTTCTAATTCTGATTTTATAGAAATTTTAACTTAAATTAAGTCAAAAATATGTAACATTTCTTAATTCTGAATGTATATTGACCTAACATGGTATATAATTTTAATTAAACTCGTGCAGCTCTCTTAATTTATTTGAATCCCTTGCCCTGTTTTTTATTTCATGCTTTTTAGTGCCCCCTCCTGGCCCCCTGGAGCATTAGGTCTAGAACCGCCACTGATACAAGGGCAAACCAATACAAATTAGTCACATCAGTCAGAATATTTCAGTTTTATCGCAACTTTTGAAAATCAGAGGTGGATTGAACAGGGTTCATCTTATGTGCGTTCCAGCTGACCCGATTGCCTTTAGCTCTCCTGAAGTGGTGATTTTTTTTTTTTAGCCCCCCTTTGTGTGTGAAATTTTTTTTTTTAACTATTTGACTTAAATCTGCATTGAATTAGATGCATATTTGCAGTTTGCTTTATATTCATTATTGCAGACTTTTTCCACCCAGGTATTTGTTTTTTCCCCATTCCTCCCTTTATTTCTGCATCCTTTTCGTATTTCGGAGGACGAGCATCGCCATGCGAAGGTGCACTGCCCCCAAAAGCAGCGTCAGCATTTAAATGACTCCGTTCGTCCCCCGTGCTTCTGTGTTGTCTCCGGCTATCTTCTCCGTGAGCAACACATGGCTCAACTAATGGGATGAGGGGATTCTGGGTCGTTACATGCTGTCAGCTCATTGGTCACAACGGAGGACAGGGCCCGGGAACAAGTTTAGCGTTGTTTGACATTATTAATTTGCCAGTCCTCCGGCACTAGAAAAAAAAATCAAAATCTAGATAAGTCTTTTTTGTCTTAAAAAAATGCATTTGTTCTTGGATTGAGGAGATTAAAGAGACATTTTGCCGATGGAACAAGACAATTTACATTTAAAATAAGAAAACACAATTGCATTGTCTTATTTCAAGTGCATCTTATCTAATTATCTTATTTAAAGAGTAAAATTACTCATTCCATTGGCAAACTATCTCATTTAACTACTGAAATTAAGGGTAAATACACTGAATTTAAGAGATTTTTCCAGTGTATAATGACATATATATGGTGGAAGGCTGTCCAGATTCAGAACCCTGGATAGCGCTCTTACTGTTGATCCCACGAAAGGTGAAGAAAAGAACAAAGGAGCTCCAATTTGACTCCAATTTAAGGAGCCGTGAAAAGATTCTCTTCTAACAACCTTTCAAACAATGACAGCGCCCCC